CCTTCTGCTCCTGCTCCTGCTGCTGTGCAGTTCTTCTTGGGCTGCGGCAACTATTGCCAACGCAGGACGAGGTCCTGAAGTCCTGACACTGGCAGCGCCTCGTTTTGCATACCAAGCGAGCGAACGGAGCTCGACTTGTGCCGGCGGAAACGAAATATTTAACAACAAAGCAAACACTAAGGCACACACACCCATACTCATACACCCGTACACCCGTACACACGCACACTCGCAGATAAACGGGTATTTGTGTGCGCTGCATAATTGAGTGGGCGTGGCGGGCGTCGCAAGTTTAACTTTAATTTGCCAGCTTTCATCTGACTTTGTTGTCGAGCGCCGCAGAACTAAGCTCAAATTAATAGCCAGCGATCTGGGCGGAACCCCTCAAGCGCCCCTCGCTAAGGCGGCAGCTCAATGACTTATCATATACAAATTACAAGGGTCTTGCTTCCACTCGCCGCCACGCCCACCGCCCCCTGCGAGGAGCAATTAGCGATGGGAGCCAGCTCACAGTCAAGCGAAGAAAATGTTATAAAATAAATGTATTTTGCTTGTTTCTAAGCGAATTGAAGATAGGGGAAATATATTAATGTGTGTTACAGTAGCAAATAAAGTCGTTCTAATACATTCAAATGTATGAATTGAAAGTTGAATTCATAGTAATGGTAAAATTCATTTTAGCCCATATAAATCACGCTTCCATCTCTGGGACTTTCCACATTCCCAAACTCAGACAAAAGTCAAAAGTTACAATTTACGCTTGTAGATTGCTTTAAAAACTTCTCTCCGGTTGCTATCTGCTGCTACAATTTTGCTAATTAACTCAGCGCTCAAGTTTTGGGGACAAATCCACCCCCAGAATCCCATCTCCGACCAGAAAGCCCCACAAACTTCCCTCGCGACTGTCGCTAATTTCGCTAATCAAAGCGCGGGGCTTCCCTTTTGGGAAGGGGAAACCCCACTTCGATTTTATTAAACGGGATGCCGGCAAGGGGACATTTTGAAAGGCCCAACAATAACTGGCCAAAAATGAAAACAGCAGCAATAAATGTATAACTTGTGTTAATGGCAAAGCGAACCGAAGAGCTGCCGAGAAAATGGGTTTTTTCTTCGCTCCTCCTGGCCGATAATTAGTTGCGTTGTTTAGGGGCAGAGCAAAAAAAGGAGCGAAAAGCTAGCCAGCATGGTTATTGCCCCGACACGTGCCACCCTTCGGCAACCCGGCTCCCAAAAATATCACACACAAATGAAGTGCTCGCGGCTCTAAGTCCCCAAGAGTCGATAATGTCGCGGCATGGCCGCAGAGCAAACGCCACCAGGAGGGGGAGCATTGCAGCCTCCACTGAGAGAAAAGCCCCCTGCGCAGCATCAATGCAAAAAAGAGCGAGTTCCGTGGGACTAGTATGTCCTTGAAATAGGTAGCTTGTCACACACACGCGTAATATTACTTCTACGACTTTGCATCCCTTTAACGAAACACTCCTTTTCTCCCAGTGAACCAAGAACCAACAACCAACAATTGGGTAGGAAGCGGAATCGGACGGGGGAGTCCGGGGATTGGAGAACTGGAAGCTGGCGACGAGCGCCAAAACTCATAAAATTCAAGCCATTGAGTTCTCGAAATCGCTTCGGGCTTCATTTCGACTGCCCCGCACCCGGGAGGTCCTTTTGGCCTCTTGACTTCTGTCGCCCTGCTCCTCGCCGCTCGGCCATTTAAATTCGTTACGTTTCGATTGCCGTGAATATGCAGTCAACTTTATAAAATTTATAGTTTAATCTGATAGATAGGAAATTGCTTTGTTTTGCCAGGCTCGCAATCGGATGGGCCACGGAAGGAGCAGAGCCCCGAAAAGTTGGCAAAATATTAATGGGGATTTCGGATGGAAACGGGGGACTTTGCCTTTGCCAAGGCAGCACTTTAAAGCCTCGACTCAGTCGATAAAAAGATATGGTGCAGCTCGGAAACAGCACTTTGGTGCTAGTCGAACACCCAGATCTCCTCTATTTCAGTAAATTATGCCAGTTACACAAGGCAAGGGGATTGCCTAAAATACTTTCAATTAACTGTAACTGCATTAATAAATGTTTATTTCGTTCAGATATTTTCAAGGATTAACGTGTGCATTTATGTTTTTCCAACTCAATATCCTTCATGCAGGCTTGACATATTCCGGTGGCAGTCTGCTTGTCTGCCGCATAAAATAAAGATATTTCAGTTAACCCAACTTATAGCGCCATGAAGGATGCTGAGTTTTGGCTTGTCGCTCTGTGTGCGATATCCTTTTCGAGCAGGACATCCACCCGTGTGCTGTCAGGCAATTGCCTAATTAAATTTTACACCGAAAGTCGTAAAACGAGATCTCAATAAACACGAGACAGCAAAAGGTGGCGAAGCCATTTGCATCCCTTTGCGGGTCCTAATACCACTTCGCTGCTCAGGAGCTAATAAGACGGCCAAATATTCCGACCAGGTCAGCACTAAAATCACGCGGTTCACTGACCCGCGGCCAAATCTCCAAAATCTCAGCCTCGCTTCAATATCGACAGTGGAAGTGGAAGTGCTGGTTAAACAGAGTGCAGCTGGAGGGCAGGACGTCAACATCTCGGGCTGTTTACTCACTGGAGGACTTTCCCTCATACGGGGGCACTCGGAAAATGTGTGGAACTAATACTTGTACATCGAAATGGGCCTTTCGCTTTTGACATTAATGCAGGTTATCGGCTGTAAACTGTGCTTAATGTGGCCAACAGGCTCCTTGTTTCGCGCAGTGTCGAAGAACTGGAATCCTGAAGCGGTCAGTTGGACAAGTGGCTCCGATGTTTGCTTAGCCCATCACAACCGAACAGGTCGAGCCATCGAAAACTGAATCGGACTCAGCTGAGCTCGACTTTTGACAACCCGACTCCTCGTCATCATTGCCATCAGAATGGAATTGACCACCGCCCCAGTTATATTCAGATATACTCTACCATACGAGTATGTGTGTCAGTGGCGCTGCAAGCGCAGCTTGTTTGTTCTTATCCTTCGGCACTCATATAAAGTTTGTTTGCGGATTTGTGCAGCGCAATATGTCATTGCTGCCTCTTTGGGCATCGACTTGGATGTGGACGTGGATGTGGATAAGGATATGCATGTGGAAATGGCGGGGCAGCGGCGACCACGCTTAATGGCAATGTACGTTCAAGTAAACACACACACACGCACACACACTCAGCATCCTGGCGCACTTGTGTGTTAGCGAGGGTCGCTCGGACACTTTGCCTGCCATCCATTCCAATGGATTTCTTCAAGTATATCTAAATCCAAATCTGAGTTTGAGTTGGGTATTTCATTGTGGATTTTCGCAAGCAAGCTCATTTATGCATATTATATACTCTATATATTCCATATGTTTATGAGCTTCCATATGCTTCCTATTATTTTTATTAAATTAAAAAAAATTCTTAAAACCGCCCTCGCATGTGCCCACATGCAGCTCGGTGTGCAGCGTCGACGTCGGCTAACAAATCCTTTTGGCATTATAAACATTATTAAAATTTCATGTTTCCTGCTACGAGCGACATCCCCACCGACCTGCCCCTCCCACTTTTCCGCCGCCCATTCGCTCTATCTCCCTCGCTCGCCGCCCACTCAAAACGCAAACGTAACGAAACATGAAACTCGAAACTTGGAAGGCCCAGAAGTGGACGAGAGCGAGGCTGGAGGCCCTATAAAGCTCACGGAGTATCCTGACCAGGAGGCCCGCCACCCTAAGAGGTTCTCGCCCCAGCACCACCCACCACCCACCAACCACCCGCCACCCACCACATCCCTGGCCATAAGACTGTCTAGCCTTGCTTATTTGCAGCATGCTTCATGCTTTATGGTTACTTGGTCAAGGGCCTTTCATGCTCTCTAACACACACACACACGCACACACTTGCACTCACACAGATACACACACACACACGCGCGCGTGTGGGCTTAAGCTACACACACTCATAAAGACCGGGACACGAAATGCATGAAATTTTGCGCCGTAAATCGTTAAAATGGTTTTATTTAAGTAAATATGCAAAAATCCCTTTGTTAGACTCGCAGCATTATGTCCGGGGTCAGCACTTGATACGTTAATATCCGGAATTTAATTTGAAAATTTAACAATCTGCATAAAGCGAGATACGAATGGAGAGAAGGTAAGCAGAATGTGCTTTATTTTACGACTTTTTTGGTTAGGGCTCCATATGTCGCATGCGAAATCTTAGATGTGCACTTGTATAGACTGAGGTGGGAATGCATAAAGTGCCGTGAATTATGTCTTATTTATGCAAATTATTGCCATTATTTGAGGGAGCAGACGGGAAAACCATATATCAAACCTCAGGTAAATATAGTTGGATGAAATTGTTACCCAGCAAATGGCAGTCAAACTACTAGAATAATTACTCTAAATGAAAAACACAATCAAGTTGAATTAGCTTATGAGCCGTAACATACCTAATAATATATAGTCATACCTAATAATATATAGTATTTGCAATAATGAATAGGGGAAGTTAAGGTAGTAATGCCTCTAAATACCTGAGCCTTAATACCAATTTTTCATTGGCGTTTTCAAGCAGAAGTTCGCGAAAGCGGCTTGACCTTTGCCCTCGGGTCGGCTGAATCGCGGGGTCCAAACCTTTTAAACAGTTGCGAAACTCCTTCAGGTCATTGTTATGGCAACTTCTTCCATCCAATAGCTTTGCAATTTTCTTGCCAACTCAGAAACTTCAGCTGCGGCAAAGCTTTCCTGCTAACTAGCTGTTCTGCGGGTTGTGGGTGGCAAGGGCCACGGAAAATTCTGGAGGGGAAGGGCTCGGCAACTAGAACTGAGACGTCTCTCCTGGCTGGCTAAGCCCAAACGCACTTAACACTTGCCACTGAGTTTTGCGTAACTTTTGCGCCCGCAATCCGGCGAACTACTTTCATACCTGAGCAGGGGGTATAAAATCTACTTCAGTGCGTCACGTAGGCGCTTCAAAGTTTTCATTTTTGCAAAATTTACGATTTAACGTTAAAGTGGAGCAAAACAAAAAAACCCTGTATACTCGGTGGCGTATATACGTACGTACTATGTGTACTACTTAAAAGAATGGAAACTTTGAACACGACCAAAATCCCACTAAGTAAGTGTACGCCCAGTTCAGTTCGGTTCGGGATCCGGGATCCGGGAATATCCTCCGAGCAGCCAGGTTAGCTCTCCATGTTCTCCGGGCTCTCCGACCGGGTTCAGCTGCACGTACTTTGGATTTTGTTGCGTCTCCTTCTTTATTGCACTTAAGATTTACTCATCAGCAGGTGTGCCCGTGCCCGGGTGGCTTCCACCTTTCGTTTTCCAGCCCGAAACCGGAATCTACGATTGAATTTCAGACAGTTCAGTATGCCGCATGGCGCCCAACCACCCAACCACCCAACCACCCAACCACCTAAACCACCATCCGGCGGCCATGGAAAACGCAAAGGCTTTTGCAATTTTTATGTGCAATTTTTTACATGGGAACCAAAGGCGCTACGAAGTGTCGCTTGTGGCTCGTTAAGGTTAAGGGGCGGAGGTGCCTTTTTTCAGTATTTGGAGTGGTTGGGCTGCCACTGATAACCGAGGAGTGGATTAGTCTCTGGACATAGCACCCATTTAGCAAAGATACTCAAAACCGCATTTTTCTTTAAGGAATTTCGCAGAATAATTAAAAATACTCTCTCTATTTGGAGTGGTTAAATTTAAACGCGCTAACCACACATGTGAAACGTAAAATGGGTCTAGGCCCCAGGTTGGGCGCCACAAATGGTGCAACAAGGCTATAAGCTGCAGATTCCCGCATGCGTTGCACCTAATGGCTTGCTAGAGGGTATTAAGCACCGGATCCCTCAAATTTTTTGCTATGATTTAGTGTGCACCACCTGCCGAATCATCGCCACCCAGCGCCCGCAAATACAATTTAAATTTTTAAGCGGCATCTACTTTGGACACGCCTTGGCCTGGGATTCGAGTCACGCAGCCTGACGGGTGGCAGCGTCATCAGCAGCCCACCCCCTTTCCTTTCCACCACCCCACCACCCCACATCAGCATTGAAGCATCAGCATGTCGTCCTTTGGCTCCGTTATCCCATTTTTTGCCGGGAAGCTTTTTGTTGAATGTTGCAATTTCAACCCGTTGATGGATTTTATGTTTTTTTCCCTGCACTCTTGTCGCGGGCACTGCAAAATATATGTATTTCAAACGGATAAGCAGTCATTTAATTATATATTTAAATCTATCGAAAAATATCTATCTACTCGATTTTATGTATTGGAAGTCTGTGTTGTTCTGCATTATCTGATTATCTTCAACTAATGGAACGACATTTCCAAATCTTTTTCGCAGTGCATTTTTGTGTCCTGGCAGCGGCTGCAAAATCAGCGCAAATCAGCGGCAAAAGGGGCCGAGGACGTCAGAGGGGCGAAACAAACGCAAATTGATGACACCCGCAGCGTCCTGTCTGTCATTGATACTTGCAAAAATGCTTCTTTACATGTCGCACGCACACGCTGCGCTGAAATGACACTAAATTTGGTTGATTAGATGCCCGCCGAACAACAAATCGGATTGGTATCCTGCCGTCCGAAAAATCCGCGACTCTCGCTCTCCTTTACCCTGTAAATATATTGTATTGTCGGCGCAATCAGTGGCATCCGCACTGAGATTAGGGGTTTTTTAAAGGGTAGTTTTCGTTTTACTGGGACCGAACTTACTACACAACAAATTCCTGTTGAATCTAGAATGTTTTAAACTTTTGCAAACCTAATGAAATGGATTTGAACCCATGAACTATGATGAGCGTCCTCTTTTGTTGGCATCCAATTTTCCAAAACCATTTCCCTTCAATGCCCGTGATAATTCAACTTGATGGGTAACCAAATTCGGGATCAGACAGGTTTCTTTTTTCACCGTTTTCAGTGGCCCATCAAAAGTTCCGCTCCCGCGTCGTTTTAGCCCGTTAACGTCAGCCTAATTGACAAATCTGCGCTTAACAAGCAAACGCAATCTGCTGCAACGCTCCATAGATATAGAACCTCATATATAGACTCCGGGATCGGGGCAAGCGGGTGGCCATATAAATTATCACAAGTATTTTAACCTGAACCACGCCCGCCGTGCAGAATGCATGCTAACAACCACTTAGCCCACTCGCCCACTTCCCGCCCACTTTGCCCCACTTTCCCGCCTTTGAGTCCCCACTACTGGGGAAGAACTATTAAAGAAATTACGAGCTGATTCACCGGCTGGGTGTCAGGGGAATTGGGATAAATTTGGGACCGGGGCTCTGGGAAGCGGGAATTGGAAGCCATTGGGGCTGCGTTTTATTTGCAACAATTTGACGCAAGCTGAAATGCATGCGGGTGCGTTAAAAGTTGCGGGGTCTCCAATTTGATGTGTGTTGTAAGGCACTGTGAAAAAACATGATGTATGATGTTTATATGCTTTTCAGACACATGATTCGCAGATTTTTAAGCCGCAAAAATAGTTTTACTGCCTGCAAAGGGAGTTTTTGGTGTGGATAGTTCGTCAAATGAAAGTCCGAGTTCTCAGGTCAATCATTACCTCGAGGATGCATATTCTCGCAGTGTACTTTCCGTTTCCCCAAAACTCGGATCTCCCGCATGCGGGAAACTTTGCTGCGCGACAGCCTGTGTAAATAGTCGTCTATCGAGGGGCTAGATGCGGATGCCACAGGATCCATAGGATCCACGGGTTCCGCGGAGTCGGAGTGCTCGAAGCGGAGTCGGGATTGGCATAATATGCCCCCAGTGAGGCGGCCAGACTGACAACGCAGGCCCGAATGGAGCGGCGGCCTCAATCAAAGTTGGGCGTATAATGATGGTGCCCACAAAAGCCAGCAGGATAAAGTTTTTCGCACAAGCGGTTGCATCTTCGCGTCTCCATCCGTATCTCCAAGTCAGCCCAAACCAGCAGTTTTAATTTCGCCACGAGCAGCGCTGCATCTTCAACGAAATCTTAAACAAATAAAATGGCTTCGACTGCGCCATCGTCCTCGACCTAATGATGTGGCTGCCTCCCGCCGCTGGCCTCGCACTTAAATTAGTTTCTGCCAAAAAGCCGGGGAGGCAGCAATTTCGGCTTAGACTCTCTGGGCCAGGATAATGCCAGATGGAATCGCAATCATGCGCTCTTAAGGAGCATGCATGCGGCATCGTTTGTGATGTCAGCATTCCTGGAACTTTACACTCCCCAGCTCCACATTATGCCTATTAAAATATTGAGCCCGTTTTTGTTTGCTTAGATACTGAGCTGCATGTATTTGGTTGCAAGTTGTAGCTAAATCCTATTACTGTAAGCTGCTAAGGCTATCGAGGCTTGCAGGGTTTTCACTTAAAGATATTTACTGCATTCTATCTATGGTATCACTCGAAAGTGATTTCTTTGGCTGGCACAAGCATCTGAAATATCAACAGCATTAGCAGTCTTTAAGCTTGCCGAAGGCTGAGTCAGCCTAATGAATGCAGCCCACTGGCGTTTTGCACCACGGCCCAGACCCATTCGATATTTCAGCCCGATTCCAGCCGAGCCCCTGGCTGCAACTTAAATTGGAACTGCTTCCGGCGGCTTTAAATACCGCTAGTCACGCACCAAGCTCGTTCGGGTCGAGCTGGGGTCGGAGGTCGGAGGTCGGGAGTCGGGTCGAAGGTGTCCTCAACGATTCCGTCCGCTTACATTGTCTCGGAGCCAGCTGGAGCTGGAGCTGGAGCCCCGACTATCATGCAATTGGCAGCGACCGTTCCGAAACTGTTGGCTTATCTGACCCCTCCTCCGCGGCTCGATCCAATATGTCTGACTAACTGACTCAGCGCTTTGATTGCCGGCGGAGCGGGCAGGGCGACTTTCTTTCCGCTGCCTTGGCGCTGGCTTCCGATTTAGCCACCCGCCACCCGCCACCCACCGCCCCATTCGCGCCCCAAAAACTTTAGCTTTGGCTTAATTTCGCGCACGAAGTAATACAAAAAGTGGAACTGGCGGGCAGGCGGTAGCACGTGCGGCATCCTTAACACATTCCAACAACTGAAACTACATAATAAAACACTCGGCGCTACGGCTAAATTCCTTTTTGCCAGCTCGTGCAGAGACAGAAAATATTTTGACTTGCAAATACAAATACCAGTTCCAATAAACAGTTTACAAATGCCTTGATAGATATTTAATTAGGAATTTACCACAAGTAACTGCATGCTACTTATTAGTAGTTTCATTTGCAGGGCATCACTAACTGCTAAAGATCTTAGAACATTGTTGTAGTGTGATCCATTCCACGCCCACAGAATTGCAACGCCCAAGGATTTTCGCTCTGTTTTCCCTTTGTCGAGCTCGCGAAGTCGGAGGTCGCAGGTCGGAGGTCGCAGGTCGCAGGGCGGAGGGCTCGTCAATTATGGAGGAGCAGGTGGGCGACTGCAAAAGGTGTGCTTTTAATTGTCCTAGTCGCGTCACCGTGGCCGTTCCCGTTGTTGCCAATACATATTTAGCGCATTTAGCACCACGAGCCAACGAGATACTCTTGGCACAAATTGCGCTGATGGCTGCCGGTGGCGTTGATGTTGCCTGCGTTGTAAGTTTGACTGCTTGTTCTGCAATAATTTAGAAACTTTCGCTGAATATGTGCTGCTGCTCCTGTGGCATGTCCGCAGTGCACGGCGGCGGGTGTCGAAAGTGGGCGTCAGTTGCAGCGAGGCCATTTGTAGATACAAGATACTTACTATATATTTATCCGGTTGGACCTTGTGGTACTTCAAGGTTTATTTATTATTTAGGTGCTTTATTTTAATGCAAAACTCCTAAGCTCCCTTCGCAGAAACAGCATTTTAATTACAGATATTTGAGGCACCCTTGCAGCATTTCCCACTCCAAAGCGCTTCCCTCATCAAACCAACTTCACCTCGCTGCCATCATCGAAGGCATTTCCCTTGCTAAACTTATGGCGCCCACTGTCTCGCACTCACACAAACTCACCCACGCCCACATTGTCTGCCTCCCCCCTTCCACCCCCCGCCGCGCCCCCATTCAAGCCCCACTTCGCCCATCAGCCGCTTAATTCAAAGCCTTTTCCTTTTCCTTTGCCTTCGCCTTTGAGATTTGCGTGTTTCGCCTAATGAAGAAGACAAATAATCGTGCAATTAAAGCCTTTTAGCTTTAAGCGCGAGTAAATAATTGCTGTGAGTGCAGAAGCCAACACACGCACACGCACACACACACACGCCCACGGCTCACAGATACACAGACACACAGGATTACTAAGCACACAGACACACACACACACAGAGGCACTGGGCGTCCTGGGCGCTGCACTAACAAATGGTAAATGTATTCAAACAACAAATCTTAATGGCACGCTACAATGAATAGTAAACGAGCAAAGGAGTGGAGCGCAGCAATCGCGAGGTGGCAAGATAGCGATGAATACCTGAGAGTTTGCACTTCAAACAAACTCGGGCTTACTTCATAAATTATTGGCAAGTCGAGTGCTCGACAGATCTAGAAATCATTTTTCAAATACTGCAACAATCAGTATGAATTAATATATGTTATACAATATAAATATAATTAATTTAACAACTAATGCGGGCTTAGTTATGCCGAGGTAAGACCTTAGGAGAGCTATTT